TCTGATTGGCTAATTTTTTGCAAATTTGTAAAATTTCAAAAGTTATTCATCAAATGTGTTTCCATCTCTCATTTTGCCCATTAAAGTTTTTTTAAAACACTTAAAAACCACCTCCACCAACCGCCCAAAACACACCATTGGAACCGGACTGGAACATCAGTGGAAAAACAACCGGTCCGACCCGTACCTACACCGACCGTTCCGACACTACACCATGGAAAAGGGGCAACATTAGAGTATTTCTATGACAAAAAAACGAACGTTGCACAGGAGCCACACTTTATCAAAGTTGTGTACTTCCGCCCTAAAAGTAGCTACTTAAAGCCAAAAAGAACATTGAGCGTTCAACGTCAAAACGTTATCCTAACTGGGAACAGGCAAAACCTAAAAAGTTCACTGCAACTTTTACTTTGAAACATTTGCGTCCACATTCAGTGGTTGAACACCAGGGTTTTGTTTGCTACGTTTTGGAGAGCAGGATCATCGCCATCGTTCCCTCACTCGACACAACCAAAACCAAAGTCGTGGAAACGCCGAAGAACGAAGACAACATTTGAGGCGTGGATATGCATTGTTACAGAACCGTGTGTCCCAGAAAACCATTTTAGTCTGTAGTGTTGGGCAAAATATTTTATTTCTTTTAGGTCTGGGAGATTCTATGCTCAGCATTTATTAAGTGAAATGATTATGGATGCATCGGTAATCRTRTTAAAATGACATTGCAGCTCTCAGMGTCAAACCTTTGACCCTTCTCCAACGGTTATGGTCAACTATTGGCAAGAAATAACTAAACGTTTGTGTAGTTTGGGTCTTGTTGGCATGTGATTTAAGGATTTGGATGATGGTACCTACAAGTTCTCCATAAAGAACCTGAGCATTTCTGCCAAATGAAATGACTTCATGTAACAGTTTCTTTTAGGGGACACTTCTGGCCTTTTCACTTTGAGCGGATTCGATGTAAAGTGCAAAATTAGATTGTATTTGCAAATTCCTGGGATAATCAGATTCTACTTGTGTAAAAAAGTTTTTTATTCATTTTTTTTTACAATATTTTAAAAAGGTGAAAAATGTTTTCTTTAAAAAAAAACCCTGGTTAACAAGGTTATTGTCAAACAGCAAAGGAGCAATCTTTTCTTCAGAAAATATATATACACGAGGCACCTCAAGTTTGGTATAAAGTATTAATGGGAAAAATTAAAATAAAATCTCCCCTTAGAATGAGACTGAAAGCCGAGAGGTCATCGGACAACAGATTTTTACACTGTTGTAAAGTAAAAGTCCTTAAACGAATGGCTTAGTGTTGCTCCAGTGTTGCTTCTACAAAAAGAGGAAAAAAAAATAAAACATGAGGAAATGCTTGCTTAAGGTGCATAGCTAATGGCTGCAATGTTTCTCTTTTTCCTGTAAACACATGACAGCACTTCAGGCTCAAAATAATAAAAAAATAAAAATTACAACGACCTCATTGAAAGGTCTAAACTGACCAAACTTTGGGACATCACAGGAACTGATAGGCCACTCTGAAAGACAGTTTTAAGACAAAAAGAACGACGCTGAGCAGCGGCACGAGACAAAGACAGAAATTAGAAAATACTAAAAATTAAAAAGCCGCTACATTATGTGTTGTCCAGTGATGATGAAATTTGCATATGAAATCCATCAAACGTGTCGAAGCTTTGGTCATTTACTACTGACGAATGCAAAGAAAAGGCTACATCAGTCAGGCAGGCAGATAAAAGAAGAAAACACTCGTTTACGCAACAACCCGGCCATGCTTCCTTAAAACCAAGGCTCCACTCTCCCAGATCTGCTTAAATTTTTGTTAACAGAAAATTAAATAATATGGCCTTTTTTCTTTTTCTTTTTAAAATAACCCGTACAAAAAGCCAGTCCACACTGCTTCTCTTTCAGTAAAAATCACATTCAGCAGTCGCTAAAACCATTCTCTGGCATAGTTATCTGAAAACACCCACAGGTACTGTGCAGGGTCTAAAGAGTCAAAGAGGAGAAGAATCAATCAGGACATCTTCGTCTTTTCCATCTTAGAGAACACCAGATATACAGTATTAATCACTTACACACTACATACGCTCATCGATAGTCATATACATACATCGTCAGAAAAACAAGGTAGAAAAATAAAATAAAAACATGACGGAGGCAAGTATTTTTTTCTTTTTTTAAAACCACAAACTCGGAGCACTAGTTTGTTTTTTTTGTTTTTTTTGATTCTGAACAAAAACATTCACATTTCTGTTATATACACCATGTTAACGTCACAAAAACTGTAAAAAAGAACCTGGTACCTGTAGTGATGAAGGAGGGATTGTTGGTTCCACTAAACGGCTGTTTGCATAAAAAAACGGTTTACATTTTTGCATTGGATGTATTTGGCATGTTATTTTGCTGTTTTTGTTGCAGGATAAGCTAACAGTTGCGGCTAAATAGTTTTGATTTAGCACGGCTGTAGAGGAAACCGTTTCTGTGGGAATGCGAGGAAGAGGAGGGTGTCGGTGCTGTGTTTGTAGAGTCAGAAAGTTTCAGCTGATGCAGTTCACAAAAACTAACAGAGCAGGAAAGCCACTTCTTTAGTTTTTTGCTGAAAATATCTTGATTTGACGAGGAGATTATAGAATCTGACCAGGATATGCTGATCGGTAACAGGGTGGTAAAAGGCGTTAAACAGSAAGTCTCCAAAATGTCTCAAAGCATCCGTGGAAGTTCTCAATTTTTCTGGAAGTTCTCCTCTGTAGAGGAGGTTTGCAGTCTTGTTGCCTGAATTTTAAACATATTCAAAAAAAATAAATAAATAAATATAAATCTCTGCAACAAATGTTTTATTAAAACAGACAAAGGTTTGTTGGAGATGTCTCAAATTCATTTCAAATCCCTCTCAGTTGTCACAGATGTCTCAAATCTGTCCTAAATCCTTCATTTTGTTGCGGGCGTCTCAAACCAGTCTTCTGAGTTTGTCGCAAATCGTCTCAATCTGGTCTCATACCGGTATCAATTTAGTTGCAATTTACTCAGACTTGTTGTGAACCCTATAAATTTTTGTTGCAGCTCTCCCATATTTCTCCTGCTGTCCATCCACCCATCCCAGTTTCTTCCTTTCAGGGTCACTGGTGCCCATGTCCAGCAGTCACAGTGTGAGGGGCAGGGTACGCCCTGGACAGGTCGCAAGTATTTCTCCTGCATTTTTCATAATTTTGTTGAGGTTTCAAACCCTTCCAAGTTTGTCGAGATTGTCTCAAACCCGTCTCGAACCGGTCTCAATTTTGTTGCAGTATCTCTATTCCTTTTCAACTCTTCATAATTTTATCTCAGACCCAGTACAGTGTACAGTGCCCTGAGACAACGTATGTTGTGACTTGGCGTTACATAAATAAACTGAATTGAATTGAGCCCCTGCTAGTTTGTCATGAATTGTCTCAATCTTGTCTCAAACCTCTCAATGTAGTTGCAATTTACTCAGATTTGTTGTGAAGCCTATACGTTTTGTTGCAGCTCTCTCATATTTCCCCTGAATTTTTCATAATTTTGTTGATGTTTCGAACCCTTCCGAGTTTGTCGAGATTGTCTCAAACCCRTCTCGAACCTTTCTCAATTTTGTTGCAGTATCTCTATTCCTTTTCAATTCTTCATAATTTTATCTCAAACCCAGTACAGTGCCCTGAGACAACGTATGTTGTGACTTGGCGCTATATTAATAAACTGAATTGAACTGAACCCCTGCTGGTTTGTCATGAATTGTCTCAATCTTGTCTCAAACCTCTCAATTTAGTTGCAATTTACTCAGATTTGTTGTGAACCCTATAAATTTTGTTGCAGCTCTCTCATATTTCTCCTGAATTTTTCATAATTTTGTTGATGTTTCGAACCCTTCYGAGTTTGTCAGGATTGTCTCAATCTTGTCTCAAACCGGTCTCAATTTTGTTGAAATTTACTCAGACTAGTTGTAAACCCTCTAAATTGCGCTGAGGTTCTCTCCAATTTATCTCTAACTCTTCACAATTTTGTTGATGTCTCAACCTCTTCAGAGTTTGTCACAAATGTCTCWAACTCATCTCGAACCCGTCTCAATTTTGTTGCAGCATCCCCAACTTGTCTCAAACAGTTTCAGCCTCTTAGAAAATTTCCATTTCAACACAGATGGCCTAAATCTTTTATGTTTTTGTAAGGAAAAAAAAAATTGGATGCAAATAAAGTAGATCTTTCATCTGACTTCTCCTTGTTCACAAACCCAAACATTTTCAGTGCAGAATAATTCAAAGTGGCCGTACTGCTTTGTTGGTTTTAAACAGGACTGTACTTTCCTCCACTTTATGCAGCTTTTGGTTCTTAAAACTCTGAAGCAGACAAACGGGATCGGAACCAAATGGATGTTAAGTTAAAACTGTCTGAATCTGTTTGGTAGTAAATAAACTCCATAGCTTGTTGACAAAGTTTGGTATAATTATTAGTAATAATATTAATTTGAAGTGACAGCAGGAGTTTCTGTCATCATTTCAGATTCTTGTTTGTCAGTTTAGAAGTCTTTTCGTTCACCCATGTTTTTTTGTTCCACTGTTAGAAATGAACGCAGCACATCATGCAGCATGGTTTAAAGAGCTGGAAGCTGGACTTCGCAAACCGTCCCTCTTCACCTTGTTGCGTATCTGACTCCTCGTCCTAACGTGAGCTACGAGTTTTCATTTTTACGAGGTGACGAAACGCCCCAATTTAACGAGGGGGGATGTTTTGTAGTTTTGTCCGTATTTATCAGGTGAAATTAGGAACTGCTAAAACACATTTCAGACTTTCAAACTGCAGCAAAAACCTGTTTTTAAGCTAATTTAGAAATTTATTTTATCATGTACCGAATCTTGAAAACTTTTGTAACAACTTAGACGCAAAGAACATTTCAGAGGCAACATCTCAGGAGGAGATGCGCAATGATTTCGTTAAACACTTTTTGAGCATAAAAAAGTCAATTTAAAAAAAGCAAGAGACGTCTGTTATCACTTGGAGAGACAGTGTATGACTGGTCAACAGTAGTTAACAGAAAACTGTACATCTGAGCAGCCGGTGGAGTGAAGTATTCATCGGGGGAAACCGGAGGGGGATCCTAAAAATCTCATCATCAATGGGAACATCAATTAAGAAAAATAAAAAAAGGAAAGTGTTTTTGTTTTGCAATCCTTCCCAACTTGATTTGAATTTACAACAGCTTCAAATTATTCAATCAATCAATCAATCGTTTGTTAGGAAGTTCTAACACTAAAGCCTCTATTTAAACGTCATTATATAGGAACAATAAGCCAAAAAGTCTGTTTGCTGCAAGCTGTCGAGTCGCAGCAACAGCTCGACCAATTTTTATACAACCTCATTTACTGTCTGAAAACAACTCAAGCAGTAAATAAAAAAACATTAAAAAGCAAAAACAAAAGAATAATTAAGGCTAACTGGCTCCCTGATTACCATGAGAAATCAAAACTGAGCTTAACGGGATGCCAACAGGGAGCAACATCTAGCTAATTTTTTTTTTTTTTACTTTTTTTTTTTTAAATCAAATTGCTTAAAATTTCACATTTTAGAAGCTGGAATAACATCCTCCTCCACTGCAACATGTAGCTGTGTTACAATATGCCAAAAAATAATTTCAAAAACCACGAGTGGACATTATTAAAACTGGTTTTAAAAAGAGAAAAGAGAGGATCCAATCACATTATACATATTTGCCGTTCTTAGTTATCAATTAATTACACGTTTTTTTTGTTTTTGTTTTTTTTTTTAAAGGAAAGCAGTTACAAGAGAAGAGTTCTCGTTCCCAAGTCTTTGTCCTTCTGTTCTGTACAATACTACCTGCCTGCATTGTGCACGTGGCAAACAACACTGATAGGCTGAGAGAAAGTGTGAAGATACACGGAGAAGAAGAAAGAGGGAGCCCGTCAGGCTCCGTATTCACAGCTGCTGAGGTGAGGGTAAAATGTGACGGACAAACAGTTAAATATTTATAACAGTCTCTTTCATACTTTGACAAAAAGACAAAAACAAGAAATAAAAACCTCCTCTCCGAACGGAGAAACACATCCAAGTTCCAAAATGAGCAGCATCCTCTGTGTCTCCCATCCATCCATCCATCCTGGTTGTTGTCAAAGCTTGTTCTGAAGGTCGTGATGATGATGATGATGATGAGAGCAGAAGATTTTAAACAATCCAAACCGAAACATGAGAATAAAACCAGAATAGAAAAATACGTCGAAGAAGAAGAAGAAGAAGAAGCAGAGCTTGGAGGGGAAAAACTCACACTTCCACCAGGCAGCGCAGCCGACAGAAACAGTCACAGAACCAGCTGATCCTGAGCTTCTGTCCCACGCCGCCGCAGAGGTCTGAAACCTTAAACATTCCCACATCGCTGAGAGACAGTTAGACAACAAACAATCAATCCAAACAAATAAAAAAACAAACACAAAAAGCCGGAGGTGCTGTGGATCTCCCGCACGACTCCAAAGATACTGCTGCTGCGACGGCGTGACGACAACCGTCTCATCAGAAAGAAAACATTAAAAATAAAAATAAAAAACAAAAAGAGAACGGCCCTGATTCGACGGTGACGACAACTTGGCAAATCTACAATGATGTTGCGGTTGTTTTCTTGGGTCAGGAAGCAGGAAGTAGGTCACCGAGAAATGAGCAGCAAGACAACTCTGCCTTTAATAGGCTGAGGCAGACAGACAGGTTGTCAGACAGATCAGACAGGCAGGTTTCAACACGCTGCTGCTCCTTCTGACGCTCTGTAAGTACCGGGCCGTAAACACAACCGGACCACCAAACTCCGCACCCCCTCCGTCTCCGGTAAACAGGTGGTTAGGCTGCAGGACTCCGCTGACAGCCGCACCTCTCCGTGACTTTAATCTGTGGCCGTCCGTCCATCCGTCCGAAAGCTGAGGCAGAGACAGCAACGGGTCTGGTGAGCCCACCTCCCCAGGAAGAGGCGTTGAGGTGAGAGGGGGTGGGGGGAGGTCACTCGGTGAGGAGCTGCTGGAGGAGGCTCTTCTGCTGGGCCTGGTTGTTCTGGGAGCCCTGTGGTCCGGGGCCCTTCGGGGGGGCCGTGGCCCCCATGGAGCCCTGATTCAGGTAGGAGTCACTGCCGACGAGGTTCACTGTGCACTGGACGTCTGCAAACACCTGAACCTGCTGCACCTGGGGGGCAAAAAGGTTCACGTTAAAGAAGACGTGTGATTTTAAATCCTTTTTCACATTCATATCATTCAGTTGGCATCTTTTTTTTTTATTTTTGTTCTGCTCTCGGAGGAGTAAGACTCTTTTTCCTTCTCTCCTGCCCTCCCTTATCCTCCCTGCTTTGCTGCTCGGAGCCTCCCCTACGTTTTCATCTGAAACCAGAAATTATGGATTTATTTTTATGGATTTGGTTGGCTGGTCTCAAAGTTTTTACTTCCATGGGAGGACACGTCGAAGGTGGAACCTCTGTTCTGGACACATATCTGGATTCTACAGACTGGCCTGGTGGTCTACAAAAACACGTCGGTGGCTGTGTTTCCACTGCAAATGTGTGCAAAAATTTGTCGATATTCTGTTAATGTTGRAAAAAAAAAACAGTTTCACAACTGYRGTGTTTCCATTAAGTAATAAATGTTATTAAAGTCACGTGAATACGTTTGTTCTCATGATAAGTCATTACAAACATGGCAGCGATGGATGTAAACACATAGCATGTTGCTACCACGACACTAGCGCTCATCATCAGAGGAGACGTCGGCGTCTTTTATCGAGGCTTTCCAGAGACAAGTCCCTACTTGGGAGCGGCTACGTATGCTGTGTTTTTGGGAAATTGTAGTCGGTGAGTTTACTACTTTATACTACTTCTGTGATATTACTACTACTTCTACTTCCTGTTATCTTCTTCATCATCGTCTTTTTCACCAGTAGAAACAGACGGTTGTTGATCACGTGACTCCTGTGATGTGAAAAAAGTGTTTCCATTGCAGTTTTGTGAAAAACACTAATTTCGATACGGCCGAAAAACCACCTCATCCTAGCGCAAAAACATTTAGTCGAAAAACATAATTTTTTTTAGAAACTGACGTGTTTCCATTGAGCAAATTTATTTTCTAAATTCTAATTTGCACATTTTCATGGTCAATGGAAACACAGCTAGTGCAACCCAGCAATTCTGAGTAAAAGTCATAAATCTGAGGAAAAACATCTGAATTTTTAGACTGAAGTCAGAACTCAGTGACCCTAATCCTCCTTTGTAGAACTGAGATGTTTTTTTCAGAAAGAATAAAATGCAAGGCAGTTTATTTACAWGTTACACAGAGCTCCAACAGTTGATGTTGTTAAAAATATCAAATTGATTTCTCCATATGAACAGAAGTGGAACTCCAAAGTGAAACCCTAAACATGCTCCAGGTGTGGCCTCACTAACCTGCTGGTCGCTGCACACGGAGCCGGCGTTGCTGAGGTTACTGTTGCTCATGCCGACCGCCTGTCCCAGGGGAGGTAGCGAGCTGACGGCCCCGGAGCCTCCGGCCATGGAGACGGTGATGCTCATGTTGTTGTACACCCCCTGCTGGCCGAATGGCTGCCCTGCGCTCTGTCCCGACTGACTGAACAGGCTGCAGGACAGACAAACACTTCAGAGCTTACATACGTGACTTTTGTTTATGTTCCAGCTAGAAAACACTTGGAGTCCAGGTAGACCCATGAGAAAAAACACAAGTTCTAAATGTAAATAATAATAATTATAATGAGAAATGATATAATGATAAATTAATAATAGTTTTACATCGAAAAATCATATTTTATTATTTTCATCTGTTTTTCCACCATTCAGCAGCCTAATAGATTTCTGTTTTTATTGTGTATTTTATAAAAATGTCCAGTTTAATAATGTGTGAGAAATCCACAATTTTTGTTTATTCAGTCAGTATTTAACACAGCTGGCAAAATAAATTGTTAAAAAATATTGATCTGCTTCATATTTTAAAGTCAGCATAAGAGAAAACTCAGGTTTTTAGAAAATGACCGCTTATCAATGACCGTATTTATTTGTGTATAATATGATCTCATGTATAATATGACCCCCTTTTTTTAGCTTAAAAAATCATAAAACATTTAATCCTCAAACTACCTCCAATTTCATACAGACTTCAAGATTTTTCAGCCTTTGCAGTCTTTATACATATCAGTAAAATGATCATTGGACTGTTCATTTTATTTTAACAACATTTGTACTAAAAGGTATTTTGACAACAAATATATATCAGCTGTAGCAGCATCATATGAATTCTGGCATTTTACACATAGTCCACCAGGAGGCGCCAACACAAAAGCCAGAGACTTCACATGAGATTTGGACCATCTTGTAGGGGAAAAGCAGATTACTTCTTACTCGTGAGCACCCCCTCTGGTGGGGAAACCTTTTTTCAGGGATACAAACTTTTTCAGAACACCGGTAGATGGCAGCCATTACAGACGAACATGTGTTTGTTGTTGTTCCAGGAGCGGCTCGGTCACACGCTAATGTCATTAGTTTGTTATCATTACTAAAGTGCAGGACTGCTTTTTACCCCTTTTTTTCACATCATGTCTCCTGATGGATCTGTTATTATCTCACTCTGAAGCACGGAGGAGTGTCAGAGGTGAGCTCGTTTCAACTGATTTTTACAACGCGGTCTCATTTCCGGACTCAGGCATTTTGCCGATATTTCAGTTAAAATACATAAGTAAAAATATTTATCCGAGTATAGTACTACCCCCCAACTTTATGGATGATTTTATGGATTAAATTTTACGTATTATACTTGAATAAATATGGTAATCGTTAGTGATCGATTAGATCAATCAACTTTAAAAATAAATTGCATCCCAAATTTTTTGTTTTATTCTTCTTCTTATTTTTTATTTATTTCTATCTTATTATTAGACAAATATGTTTTTATACTCTTAGTATCAAACAAACAAACCAAAGGCCTGTCGTTAGAATAAAATAAATGATGAATTCATGCCGGTGGATCTCTTACCTGCCCATGCCTGCTTGTTGCCAGCTCTTCATGTCTGGTGACTGGTAGCCAGTAGGCGGGGTCTGCTGAAGCAGAGGACTCTGGGGGGTGGAGTTCTGAGGTGATAACAATGGGCTGGTGGGGCTCATCTCAGGAGGAAACGGTGGGTCTTGTTGGACCACAGCTATAGCAAAAAAAGGTTATTTTTTCCGAACTATACTTTTGACACTAACTTATGCCATAATTTAGGAAAAAAATGTAATTTTATTATTAAAATCTGTTTTTTAAACTCACCAGAACCTCCAAACTGCTGGAAGAGGCCCTGCTGTAATGAGGAGTTTGCGTTGCTGTCGAACTGGCCCTGCAAGCCACCCATCAGCGTCTGGTTGTTCAGGGGGACTCTGACGGGCAGCTTGCTGTCCAGAGGGCCCCCCGACAAGGGGCTGAAGTGACTCGGTGAGGTAGGGGTGTTTCCCGCCATCGGGTTGTAACCGGGCGGGAAGTTGAACTTCTGTTGAGACATGGTGGGGGACACCTTCGGGACCCTGGCGGTGCCGGTGGGTCCCGCGGCCCCCGGCGGGGCGCCTGCCATGCTCTGTCTTATGAGCATGACCTTCTGCTGGAACAGCTGGCGCTGGCGGTGCTGGATGCTGTAGAGCTCCCTCTGACGCTGGGCCAGCATCTGAGCGTTGAGCGGAGGCTGCTGCGCACGCATGGGAGGAAATATTCAGTCCACGCAAAACAAAACGTACAACAAACAGGAAAAAATGTAAAAAATGGACGATTATTTGAAATTTAGTACTTCGTTCTAACTTCATTCTAACTTTGCAGGACATTAAGCTTTTAAAGTTTAATAAACAGGCTGAAAAATGAAAAAATAAATAAAAAATTTAAATAAAAAAAGAAACAATACTGTGTTTATTATAGCAGAGATTCTTAACCTGTGGGCCGTGAGTGCCACCTTGAGGGCCTCAAAAGAACAACAGTTTTTAACTTTGGGCCTCAGAGCAAGTACACTTCGCCGCAGCATGCAGAACGGGGCGGTTACAGACCTTTCCGTCAGTCCCATACCTTATAT